AATTTTTTTTAACTGACTTCAAAAAAAGGAGGAGGCTATCAATTTGTCGGTATATATATATATATATTTTTTAATATATGTTACCGCATAACTTTGCACCACGTGAAACGATTTCGATAATTCTTTTTTTTTGTCGGAAAGGTGGTACAATACTAATTTGGTTTAGATACGATCATGATACAAAAAAAGAAGGTAGTTTCAATAAACAACTTTTGACGGATAATAAAATTTTTTGATGTTTCATAAATTGTGAGTATCATCATCGGCCTTGCCACTTTGGTAATATTAAAACAATAAATCGGAGTATTTTCCTTGAAATATTTATACCAATGTAATAATATTTCAAATCAAAAACCATCATCAGTACTTAGTACTTTTTTACTTACGTAGCTCGCACTAATTTTATTAAAAATATATAAAATATAGACTATTAAAGAAGACTTCATCGTAATTGTTCTTTTTATTTTATAATAAAAACCACGCGCGCATTATGCCGTTATTTTTTCGTTTTCTTATTTTGAATGGAATCGTGCGATCTAAAAATCTTATTCTAAAGAATGTTCTTCCCAAATAAAACCTCTTTATATTTAGGTTCAAATTTACTTTTAAATTTCTCATCAGATTTTGCAAAAAATTAGCTTTCACAAATTTTGAACTTAAACTTTCTAATGTATGCAAAAAACCGCTAGTCGGCTTGAACAGGCCGCCCTCCGATAAACAATTAGCATATCGTCGTATAAAGTACAAAACCACGTATCAACAAAATGCAAAACTGCCTATGTGAGGTTGCATAAATTATTTTCTAGAAAGTAAAAACACTCATATTTCAAAATGGTTCTTCTTTTTATACAGCAATTGCATTTCTGGGTAGTATATTTCAGGACGAATGGATACGGCTTGAGCCAGGAGCTTGTGTCCAATTTTTGGAAAAATGTCAGTTACGCGGTTTTGCAGAACGACGAAACGCGGTTTTGTACTTTAAACGAGGATATGGAAGTATAATTTCGATCACTTTCTTCATGTGTTCGGAAACCTAGTCATGAACCCCATTTTCGAAATTATGTAGCCGGCATAATTTTCAAGTCCATCATATTCCACATCTTTGAATGTACTGATAAAATCTTCTGCTTTAAAAAAAAATATTTCCTCTAGTGATCAGGTAGCATGAATTTGATGAAATGTCATAATTTTATTAAAAGTCAAATGGTTAACAACAACAACGAATGTCACTAAATGGAACCATGATACAAAAAAGAAGGTATGGGGTGAAAGGTGCCGATCTATCGCTCGAACAGTGGAAGGAACTCTCACAATTGGTGAAGAAGAATAATTTATTCCCCTTCTTCGATATGGCCTACCAGGGCTTTGCTTCCGGCGATGTCGATCGTGATGCTCAAGCTGTACGTATCTTCGAAAAAGATGGCCATCTCTACTGCCTGGCGCAGAGTTTTGCCAAGAATATGGGTTTGTATGGCGAACGTGCCGGTGCTTACTCCGTCATCACTGCCAGCAAAGAGGAAGCCGATCGTGTTACATCACAAATTAAGATTCTCATTCGTGCACTCTACTCAAATCCACCATTACATGGTGCCCGCTTGGCTGCCGAAATACTAAACGACGCAGAATTGAGAGCAATTTGGTTCAAGGATGTTAAAACAATGGCTGATCGTATTATTAATATACGCGCACAATTGAAGGGCAACTTAGTGAAATTGGGCTCATCGCGTTCATGGGATCACATTACCAATCAGATTGGTATGTTCTGCTACACCGGCATGACAGCGGAGAATGTCGAGCGTTTGTCGAAGGAATTTAGTATTTATCTGACCAAAGATGGACGCATCTCAATGGCGGGTGTGACCAGCAAGAATGTCGACTACTTGGCGCAGGCTATGCACGAGGTTACCAAGTAAATGTGCCAGAATTTTTTGTGCTAGAAATTT